TGATCTAGCACACAGAAAATGATTTGACTGAAAATTTATCAGAAGAGATGAAAGAAAGATAGTGGTCATCTATGCAATTCGGAAAAAGAGGCGGCTTTTCTGCATTAGGTATGTTTTATTTTTTATTTTTTATTTTTTTTTACTCTTTGTACAGCAGTTATTGTTCATTCTAAATAAAAAATTTTTATGTAGAATATGTGTTACGTAAATACATCAACATATATGTTGAACATATAAACATATATGTAGAACATATAAAAAAGTGCTCGTGGCTCGTCTGCCAGTGGGCGCCCTCCCACGCATAAAAGTGAAACTCCGCCTATGATTGTGCTGTTACTCCTTTCGAGCCGAAGTTCACAAAACAAAACTTTTCCGTTTCCTTCTAATTCAAAATAATCCCACGCTTTCTCGTCTTTCGCATGGTCATCTTTGAACTCGCCGCAACTGACACGAAGAAAATGCATGTGAGGTCTAAAGGTTAAAATGTAGTTTCCGCCCAGATAAACTTTTTAAAATAATGTATTATTTTTCAAACGTTTTATTTTAACTTGTTATTTAAAATGTTTTAAATGCAATGTTAAAATGACGGTAATTTGAATGATAAAATCAAGTTTTTTTTTTTTTTTGTCGTGTAATCGACTATTGTTTTCAGTGTCGACTAGTAGGAGCTGTACCGTTTAGTCGACTAGTCGACTAGACCCGCACGTCCCTAGTTCCAATATTCACGTAAAACAAAATGTTTTGCATAACGTCCCGGCGGTACGGTTAATAACACTTCACGGCACAGATTTGACTACATATTTAAACTGAGCAGTGTGTTTCTCCCCATATGTTTGACTGACTGTATTTTGTTATTATAATGAACAGGCTGCATTGTCAAGGTATTGTTTGCCATTATTTGTGTACGTTCGCAATGAAAAAAAATCTTTGTGGTTTTGTAAAATAAGCCTAAAGAAAAATAGGATGCCGCCTTCTGCCGTCTGTTTCCTTTTTGCGCAGCACAAAAACTCTGAACTGAAACTCTGCATACTAGGCTACTTGTTGCACAGTTTTTCTTTCATTTTCTTAATTTATTATTTAACTAAATATATATTTCTCTTATAGGCCTATTTATTCGTTATTATATATATATATATATATATATATATATATATATATATATTTATTTTATTATTATTTTTTTTTCATAAATTATAAAGATTTTGCTCATTTATTCAGAAAATATTTAGCCTTTTTAAACTTTTAACCTGCAAGGTATTTTATGAAATGTGTTGTATTTTATCTGTAAATACAATTGAACATAGTACTATTTTATATCATTTGCATTTATCTCTATTAAAAATGTAGAGAAACTACATGAGGAAGACTCCAAGAGAAAAGATTGAAGTACATTTTGTGTCATGTTTGTCTAGGTTTTTCTTGATTTCATTTCAGGTATAGTATCTAGCCATCCCCGGGAAGCAAATGTTAGTATTTTCAACGGGACGCAGACACTTATCCTTTCTAATTTAATTCAATTCTAATTTTAAATAATCTTGTCGGTTAACGGTTAATAATTGGTTAACGAGCGTCGATTGTCTGTTAGGAAAAATAACCGAAATGAACATAACATCCCTATTCTGTAGTGATTTGAGTTACACAGTAATTATTATTCCAACTTCTTTTTCTTTCTTTCGTTCTTTCTTTCTTTCTTTCTTTGTGGACGAGGGTCCTCCTGGGGTTCCTTTGAGATTTGATGTGCCCATCTAATCAAAAGCCTGTAAAGAGCCCAAATCGCGTCGTCTTTAGCCAGGGTGTCGCACGCTGGTGTGAGTGTGTGTTAAAGCTATTTATGTCAGCACACTGATGGAGACGCTTGGATTTATGTGTGAAAGATGCATCTTTATTTTTTCTGCTCTCTTCTCTTGTCTCTCTGCCTGTGCATGTGTCTCTCTCCATTCTCTGTGTGTGTGTGTGTGTGTGTGTGTGTGTTGGCACACTCTGGCTGCAGACGGGCACACAGATGGGTGACAGGCTGTGCCGAAACCGCTCTCACACACCTGCTCCTTCATACACAGACTTACACATGCATACATAGAAAAATGTACAAACAAATGCACATTGAAAAACAGCTTGCTTTTAATGAAATAACCTCACAGATGAGTTTACGTTCGCTGAGCTGCTCCCCAAAGCTCTTCATGTGTAAGTGCAGACAGATGTTTGTCTCGGCTGACTGTAACTCTCGAGGATCCGTAACAGCGCAGTACCGCACGTATACGAATGTCCTCCAGCTATGAGATATTTCTCATCATCGTGACACTGAGCTCAGGATGAGAAATAAATAATTAGAGCCGAAAGAAAGCCGGAGAATGATGACTATTGGCTGATAAATGAGTGCGGAGAGCCGCGGAGTGAGAAGGCAGAGGGGATTAGGGCGCTTTGGAACACTTTAAGAGCATTATGGATTAAAAAAAGGTCAGAATGTTTAGCAACATAATGCTAAACCTCTTAAGCGAAACCCAACTGCATGCTGATAAACGGGGACGGAGGGAGGGGGCGATGAAAAAGAGGCTGTATGGGGTTTAACATCTGTTTGGGTCAGAAAAAGAGTGTTTGAAAGATGCAGAGAGATCCGTTTTATAGGCACAAGCATACACGCACCTAAAGTCATTATACATTATAATAATAAGAACGTGTATGGACATCTACTCGCTCATAATCATTAAACTTGATGCAACGTGCACCAAATTTAATTTGACAGCTGCAGCGGATGGAAAGACTGTGAGTGAATAAAATTGTTGAGAAGAACATAATTTTAAAAGAAAAGAACACTACTCCTCACACAAAGCTGTCATTATGATTTGAGAAGAGTTATGATTTAAATGGCCCACTTTTATAAAATTAATAAGCAGCTCATTTAGAAAAAAATATTTTCAAATAAAAAATACATAAGATGGGAAGTCAAAGAGATGACATGCTTAGACTGACATGAGAGTGAGTAAATAATGTTCACTGTAGTTCGCCGTTTTTGGGTGACACTGAAGTCTCACCTTCTAAAGGTTATTCTGTCTGTGAAAATGAAAAATTCTCATGTCGCTCTAAACAAGTAACTTTTTCTATGGAACAAAATGTCTATGAAATGAAAATGCATGAGAATAACTGCCTATGAAATTTAGTAGCACATTTGCTTGTTTTACATTACTGTTCAAAATGTAAGTTCTATTCTATTGTATTCTATTCTATTCTATTCAACTTTATTTGTATAGAGCTTTTCACGAAGTTTCTACAGTATATTTAGTAGTTTATATTCTATTCTATTCTAAAAGCATATCAAGATAACATTTTACCTAAAATAACAGAAACAAAAATTAAAAATTTTTGCAAAAAGAAAATTATACACACAGTGGGGTCAATAATTATTTTTTAAAAGAAATGAATACTTTTATTAAGAAGTAATAATTTGACAAAAGATTTCCATTTCAAATAAATGCTGTTCTTTTGAACTTTCTATTTTTCAGAGAATCCTGAATTTTTTTTAATCACATAATCAAATGTATTATGTAATAATGTTTTCAACATTGATAATAATCAGAAATGTTTCTTGAGCAAATCATCATATTAGAATGATTTCTGAAGGATCATGTGACACTGAAGACTGGAGTAATGATGCTGAAAATTCAGCTTTGGTCACAGGAATAAATTACATTTTAAAATGTTCAAATAGAAAAAAAGTTATTTTTATTTGTAATAATAAAGTAAGGTTGGGGGTTTTAATGACCTAACACATTACAGAAGTAGTTAAAATAGTATTTTCCCCTTTTGGTTGTCTTTTCTCACCTACTAGAGCACACTTGGAGAGTCAGGACTGGTAGCGATGCCCCTTCAGAAACAATAGGAGCATGAAGCTGCTCTAGATGAACAATACATATAGTATGAATATGTTTTTGGTAATTTGTGTGTTGGTGAAATCAGTTACAGTGTTTACAGTCTGCACCAATCTGTGTATGTATATGTAACTTTTGACACTGCCATTTATATGTGATCAAAAGATCACAAAGTTCACAAGTTCTGTCATTATTTGCTTACAAACATGTACAACTTTCTTCCCTACATGGAACACAAAAGGTGAAATTTTGAAGAACATCCCAGCTGCTCTTTTTTTTAAATATTGATAATTGAAAATGACAAATATTTGATGCTTTTGAAAGAGTAACACCAGCCTGGGCTTCTTTCGAATTCAAATGGTAGCTGTTGCTCATCTCGCGGAAAATCTCCAACACTCATTGAGACTGAATGACTTATGGACTCTTTGTGGCAGCGCTTTTACTCTCAGTCTGAGCATCGGTGAGCTCAAACAGGACTTGGGATGCTGTATGCCATGTGAAACACAACCTACTGTACACATTTTCCAGCCTTGTTCATGGGTTTAGGCCTATGTTTATGTGTGTGTGTGTGTGTGTGTGTGTGTGTGTGTGTCATCAGCTAGCAGGAATGTGTGTGCACCGCCAATACTAAGATGGCTGCCAAAGACTAAAATGGCTGCCAGGACTCCAGAAAAAGAGAAAGAGAAAGCAAGAGAGAGAGAGAGAGATGGAGACAACACGCTAAATGTAGAGAAAAAAGAAACCGTCTTGCTCTTTCTCCTCTGTTCAGACTGCTGTTCTTTTGTTTGTGCGAGTGTATTTGTCCTAATCTCTACACACTCTATCAAATCATGCTGGCATGAGCCAGTGTGTTCCCTTATCACCTACAGCCGCCCGATAAACACCTCCACAAACACACATGCACACGCAGCCTGCCATAAACTGTGCTGATAACGCACACTTTCATGCATATGTACTCAGACACTCGTTTCTCATTCTCTCTCTCTCTCGTGTTCACACGGCTCGACAATATCTGCTCGCAGTGTTGTTGTATCCAAGTGCCTAAACATCACTGAACAATCCAATTCCAACAGTAGTAATTGAAAAAGAGCCGTTTTCTGCCATTTATATGCATCTTTTCTCTGTTTCTCAATGCAGAATCTGGGCAATCAGACAATTCCAATCAACAAGGAGAGTCGGACATCAAACCCCCACCAAACGGTGAGAAATAGCACACGGACTTATACACTGTAATACCATGCAAAAGTTCAAAGTCTGTAAGATGTTTTTAAAAAATAATATTACAATTAAAAATAAATGTTTTCTGTTTGTATGTATTTTCAAATGTAATTTATTCCTGTGATGCAAAGCTGAATTTTCAGCATCATTACTCCAGTCTTCAGTGTCACATGATCCTTCAGAAATCAGTTTAATATGCTGATTTGCTGTTCAAGAAACATTTCTTATTATTATCAATGTTGAAAACATTATTCTTTAATGAATAGGAAGTTCAGAAAGAACAGCATATTATTTTAAGTAGAATTCTTTTGTAATATTATACGTTTTTTCTGTCATTTTTGATTAATTTAATGCATCCATGGTGAATATTAATTTCTTTTTAAAAAAGAAAAAGAAAAATCTTACTGACCTCCTACTTGAGTACAGCAATCACACAAGCAAGGGTTTTAGACTACAATTAACTGTCTGAAACACAAGATACTTGTTATGATTGTCTTTGTATAAATTACGCGTTCGATTTTGATGCTGGGTGCATGTGGTACTGGTCTCTTATCACAGAGCCCAGATATCAGTTGGGTGAGGAATGTGAATTTGTTTCTGCAGGACATCTGAGTTTTCAGGACTGCTTTGTGACTTCAGGGGTGTGGAACGTAGCCGAGCTGGTACGAGTGTCTCAGAGTAAGTACTGTAACACATGCTAGTGTTTTCTTAAATGAACAGCACACTGCAAAAAAACAAAAAAAAAAACAAAAAAAAATGTTTTTGCTTTGCCCAATTAATGATCAAATCGCTTAATTGTTGAATTCTTATTAATGAATCAGTGGAACAGGTTGGTAAAAAGACTAAATCAAACAGAGGACTCACCCGCTCACTGAAGTTATTATGGCTGACTCAAATTGCTAATTTGATATTCTGATTTGTTAGGTTACTGTTTCTTAATCAGTCTAAGAGTTTCGTAGTTTTTTCCGAAGTTCAAACTTCAACATGTTTGTCTCTTCCGCAGCCCCTGTTGCAACAGCATCAGGTCCTAATTTCTCTCTTGCGGATCTGGAAAGTCCCGGTTACTACAATATCAACCAAGTAGCACTCAGCAGACGTTCACTTGCCTCTCCTCCATCCACAAGGTGAACACACATACACCCATAGCCTGCTCTTCATGCCTGTTTCAGTCTCTCTTCAGTGGAAATTTGATCTGTCTTGCTCTCCTTTTTGTCCTTCCTTCTGTTTCCCCTTTGTCTGTTGTTCTTCTTGCTCTGTAGGTCTGAGGTGGAGCTGTACGCCAGTCTTCCTCGGAGGTCTGTCACAATCTTCTGTATTTCTGCACTTTTTCTGTTTTTCTCTCTATCTGTCTACAGGAATCTGTCACAGGGATATTGATTAACCCCTGTCTTGGTCTCTCTGTCTCTCTCTGTAGCTCTAATAAGCGTAAGTCTATAGATGACAGTGAGATGGAGAGTCCTGTCGATGACGTGTTCTACAGTCGTTCTCCAGCCGGCACCAGCTCCCAGTCCAGCGGCTGGCCGAATGATGTCGATGCAGGTGAGCATCACATGTACATATGAATGTGCCTTTTACACTGAAATGGTGCTGATACCGGAGTCTGGTCTCGGCTGTGGGATCTGTGATACTGTAGCAGTCATCTTAAAAAAACAGCCTACATTTCTACTGACCTGAGAGCCGATCAAAGACATAAATGACTATGGTACAACATAAAATATCCATAAACATATGGTGTTCAAAACAGGGTCCCAACGACTGCTTAAAGGAATTGTTCACCCAAAATTTAAAATGTACTTACCCTCAGGCCATCCAAGAGATATATGAGTTTATTTCTTCACTGGAACAGATTTGGAGAAATGTAGCATTACATCACTTGCTCAGCAATGGATCCTCTGCAGTGAATGGGTGCCGTCAGAATGAGAGTCCAAACAGCTGATAAAAACATCACAATAATCCACGCCACTCCAGTCCATCAATTAACATCTTATGAAGGGAAAAGCATGTTTGTTGGAAAGAAATCCATCATTAATGTGTTTTAAACCACTCCTTCTGACCAAAATTTGAGTCCGTAATTGGATGAGCTGAGTGAATTTTCAACAACTTTTCATTTTTGGGTGAACTATTCCTTTAAAAAGTCTTAAAATGTCCTAAATTTAGTTTTATCAAAATTAAGGCCACAAAAGTCTTAAATGATATAGCAGGAGTCATTTAAGAGGTCTTAAATTTGGGGAATTGAACTATTAAACTGCAAGTTCAAAGTCAAATCTTGGCACTGTTGTGCATTCTGCAGGATTGTGGTTACAGGGCAGTTTGCAATCAATGAATACCACATACTTATGCCAATAGATTGTTTATGATCTACTGTTGATGAGTTATGACAATGTTTACTTTATTTTGCTTATAATATGTTGTAGATGAAATAGTAGCTGGAATTAGCAAATCATAGACATTTCAAAATAAGAATGTATTTCAAATCCTGCATTATGGATGTAACCCTTTTTTAATTCAATGTAACCTTTTGTAGCTTCTTTATAGGCCATCCCGTCACAGGACGGAAAGACTAAGAACAGGTTTCTAAAGACTTAAATTTGATTTTAAAAACCATGCAAGAAGTGTTATTGGAACCAAATGTCATTCAATAAATGAAATATAACATGGAAAAAAATATGCAGTAAATTAGGGCTGCACGATAAATCGCATGCGATTGTCATGCGCATCTCTTCAGTAAAGCCGGTTCTGTGATTAGTAGTAAATCTCCAGCACCGTGCTTTCAGATGGAGCGGCATTTAATACACAGAGCCATATTAAACTGACAAGCTACACAATAATGCGTTCATAATAGAAGGCGATTCATCTGCGATTATGAACGTGATATTGCGTAGCTTGTCAGTGATCTATGGCTCTGTGTATGAAATGCCACTCCATCTGAAAGCATGTGATGGGGATTTACTGCTAATCACAGAACCGGCTTTACTGACGAGATGCGCATGACAATCGCATGCGATTTATCGTGCAGCACTAATACAGTTCTATGATCCCAATTAATTATTCTGTAATAGGAGAGATATTGGCATGGCAGGCACTGATGCTAGTGGTTTCTGATATAAGACCATCGAGAAGCCTGTTTAAGGTGTCTAAAATTTAAACTGAAATCTTTCTTCAGTAGAAATGTGTTGATTGGGGCCAGACTGGGTATCAGTTTCATATCAGTGCAAAAGGGATAAATGGCACTATGTTCATGATCTCAACACAATGTTTTCACCCTCTTCCTCTCTCCTCTCATGTTAATAATTCCCTTCTCCAGTTGCAGTGCAGCACCATTTGACGAGTGTTCAAGAGAGGAAGATAAAACATGAAAATGATGGTGTGCAGTTTCCTTACCATGGTTAGAATACATACTACACACACTTACACATGTGCACAAGTAGTGGGAGTAGACAGGTTAGTGTCAGGTCAGTAGGACATCAGATGTTGACTGTGTTGCTTGTTTAGTCTGTTTTTCACCCACATTATTGATAACCTTTTTTGTTTAACGTCATTAAAGTTATTTTTAATGATAATTCTCAGTATTATTCATTATAATATGAAAGGATTAGTGTCAACAATGGGTGCTTTTGCCTTTGGCATTATGTTAGACACTAAACTAAATGATCGCTGTGGTCACAATCAGCTAGTAGTGTTAGAAGAGCCCAGATGGGACAGCCAAAGTCAAAAGCAACATACACGCAAACAAACACTGAGAAAATGCACTACACAGGTGCACCTTCTGTCCACGCATTAGCCAGACACACACATATACACATATACACACTCTCAGTCTGTGTTCTGGTCCCAGATGGCGCTTCCGTGTATCTACAGTAGTGGGAGACATCTGCTCTGCATTTGTGTGTGAATGTCATAATCAGAATGCAATGCTTTTCATTTCAAACCTTTTGAACATTTTTAAGAAAAGGGCTTTTTAAGTGGTTCATTTTTTTTTCCTTATGTATATTTATGCAGAGGTTTCCAGCACCAGAAGTATCATTTTGTTTTGCACAATCATTTTTTCCTGCCTTCCTCTGACCCTTACACTGTTAACCAGTGGGTTATACATAATCCAGTTTACAGTTAATATACAGTTTATATCATAAACTACTGTTCAAAATCAATTTTATTTTCTACAGAAATAAATAGTTTTATTCAGCAAGGATGCATTAAATGGACCAAAAAGCGACAGTAAAGACATTTATAATGTTACAAAAGATTTCCATTTCAAATAAATGCTGTTCTTTTGAAGTTTTCCACATTGATTATGATAAATGGTTTGTGAGCAGCCAATCGGCATATAATGATTTCTGAAGAATCCTGTGACTCTGAAGACTGGAGTAATGATGCTGAAAATTTAGCTTTAGCCACAGGAATAAATTACATTGTAAAATATATTCAAATAGAAAACAGTTAAATTTCAATTGTAATAATAGTTCACAATATTACTGTTTTTACTGTATTTTTGATCAAATAAATGCAGCCTTGGTAAGTGTAAGAGACTTCTTTCTAAAACATCGAATTAATTAATAAATGGAAATTTAAGTGCACTATTAATTTCAAACATGCCAGATGTTGTCAGAGGGTCCCAAACATATATGTACAGTAAATAAAGCTTAAAAATGAACTAGCTGGCATTCATAGAAGTTTTCATAAATGTTTTGCACTGAGAATCTTTGAATATATTATTTTTATAGTACATCAAATTCTTATTTCAAAAGAAGCAGGAGGCGAGAGTGTGTTATGTGCATGTGTACACATTTTGTGATAAATATACATATACAGACTTAACACTTTCACATGCATTTGCACACTCCCACACACACGGGTGTTCTCTCTGGCACACACACGCATACACACATGCGAGAACAAATGCACTCGAAAGTGAACTGAGAAAGGGGAATTAAGCTGAAATGGGATTTAATGCCTTGTAATGTAGAGAGGAAAAAATAGCATCAAACTGAAGTGAAGTTTAAGCATGTGTGTGTATGAGTAACACTGAGCAATGGGGGCCAGGAGGACTCTGGTTATCTTCCAATTATGAGCCATCCCTGCTCTGTTATCACTTTCTCCTGCAATTTCTCACCTTTTCATGTTATTTTCATCTCTCTTTCATCTTTCTGGTGATGGATTGAACCAGTTGAGGTGTTGCTAATTTAATAGTTAAGGAACACTTACAGAAGACTACGGTTGGGTGGTATGACGCTATATAATGCACATTTTGCGACGGTAGAAATGTGTCAACGTTTGAACAGCTTCAGGCTATTTGTGAACAGGACTGCTTTACGTTATTTACGCATTAAGGGCGGCAAAGGAACGTGGAGGAATGTGAAAATACAAATCAGAACGTGACCTAAACAAGTCCAGACGCGGAATAACTTGTTTTTTAAAGGCTGAGTTTAGTTGTATACGCTTGGCAAGCAATGTCGCAACTTGTTCACAGGTGTGTGAATATCGGATATTTTGCAATGTGGTTCATCCAATCAGATTTTAGAGTCAGAACTATCAGTTTGATCATATTAATTACACTGTTTTCAGAGTGTTTTGTAATGTGAAGCTGTTTTTGCACTGATAAAACTTTTTTTAAATGAAAAATCTTTGAGTCATTATTATAAAATCATTATGTTATTAGGTATTACTTTAAATATTGAAAATATTAGAACTTGTAGAACTCAAGTTCCAAATTAATATGGAAAATAATAAAATATTTTGAAGTATCTTTTGTTTTATTTACTAGATTATTCGAAAATTGACATTAGCAAATAGTAATTAAAATATAAAAAACGGTAAAGTTATAGCAAAAATATAAATTACCGTATTGGCCCGAATATAAGACGACCCTGATTATAAGACGACCCCCCTTTTTCCAGATGTACCTTTTGGAAAAAGGATTTTTAAAAACCAAATCTTGTTTTTTCTCAGTAAAACACATTTTGTCTTCAATTATTTTCATATTGCATATTTTTCCTATTTTCATTTTTGTTTTGAAAGTATGGTAAAAACTGGTCAAATGTACCAACAATCACATTTTAAAAATATACACTTTTTGATATACCATAAAAAAAAAAAACAGGTAGCCCATCTGAATTAGGACATTTAGGCTATCCATCTAATAGTAGCCTACCAAAATCGTATTAACAGTAGAAGAAGAGTTGGTCCCATCAGGCTAATGTGACAGTCACGACTCATGCAGCTGTAAGGTTTTCTTTCTCTTTTGTTTTTACTCGCGATCTTTACAACACGCATTACATTACGTATTTCATGGCACACTGGTTTTATGCGTATTTGGCGCCACCTAGTGTTGTGGGTGTATTATTGACATGTCAAAGACATGACTCTAGACTCTAGACCCTGAATATAAGACGACCGCGTTTTTTCAGATGTATTTCCAAGAAAAAAACATCGTCTTATATTCGGGACAATACGGTATTATTAATATTTTTATTTAAAAAATATAAGAACTCTTTGATCAAGTTCCAAAGAACTGGAGAACATAATCTAATATGAAGTATCTTTTATTTAATTCACTGGATTATCCAAAAATTACCTAATATAATAATATAAACTATATAAAATATAAACTTTTTTGTTGTTAAAATTCTAGCAAAAATGACCAGTACATATTGAATCCCTTCAAAACCCAACAATGATCATTTAAGGAGTAGTTGAGTTAGTTGAGATGGTCAGCGAGTGTTTGATTGGTGTGTGCTGTGCCCTGCTGCTGTTGTTGTTGTTGACGTGTGGTTTCTGGCAGGGCTGTCCTCTCCTGGGTCTCTAAAGAAGCCAGCGGGGAAATTCGATTTCAGCGCCCTGTCAGCACAGACGAGGTCCCCCCGAATGGCCTTCACACACCACCCGCTGCCCATGCTGGCAGGCGTGAGACCAGGTGAGACAGACACACTCCAGCAGGGAGAGAGAGAGAGAGAGAGAGAGCGAGAGAGAGACAGAACGGAGGGGGAAAGGAGGGATTTAAGTATTAGATTGCAGCGTAGGCTTCTGATTGGTCCAAAAGTCCCATTATGGCACCACACTAGTCCAAAATTGCCCTCAGTGGCATTTGATTGGCTCTAAACAGTGGCGAGTTATTGATGAAGGCCTCTGATTGGCTGGGCAGAGAGACAGAGAGAGTAAGGAGCTGCCATAGTTCATGAACGACACCATCCATCCACGTTCCCTCTTGCTCTCCATCTTTTCCTCTCTTCTCTCATCATTTCATCCACAGCTTTTACCTCCATTTCTCAAGTGTGTTTTTCTGGATGGTTTCTCATGTTTCTTCGAATGTGTGACCTACATTTTTATTACATTTCATCATAGAAGATATCATGTAGAAGATGTTCTGTGAAACCTTGTGCACATACAGTGGAGTTTGAAACTCTTGTTTGGGTTAAAGAATGATTAATTAATTGTCTCTGACTCCACAATACACCGAAGAATACGGTTATGTTGTTCTTAAGGTTTTTAAGACTATTTTTCGTTTTATTTCAGTTAGCGTTAAACTACAAATTCAAGCCTTTTGCAAGAATCATATTAAATTATTTCTGATTTGTTATGTCTGTTCTGTTGAAATCTTAAATTATCTGATAATTTGGCAACAAGCTGCTGAGGGCAGTATATGCAGGAAGAACCGTTTTTATTTTTCCACAAAAATGTATTGTTCAGAATTCCTAAAAATAATCAATAATGAAGCGGAATTGTTAAAAGAATCATATTGGAACCAGAATCCCTACTAAACATATTCGCTGTAATGTGACATTTTCCTCCATTCCCAGGACACTCGTACTGCTCTTTGTGATGAACGGTGCTCGTTTAACAATTAAACAATAGTGTGCAGAGCTCTCATCTGAATGTCAGAGACGCGATTCACTAATTTCGTTCTCATTTCAAACATTCTCATGTCAACTTCCTTGTGAATTACCAGAGACTATTTGCGGTTGAAGAAAAGAGAAGGAGAGGGACGGAGACGCAAACGGGGGAAGCCATGAGGGAACGTTTAGAAAGCTTCCCAATGCGTAACAGATGCGTGACCAAGAGAATCATATATAAAAACTACGTTTCGCTCTCTCCATTTTTTTAAATTAGCCAGCAAGCATGTTGCTTGTTATTCAGTCATGCTGTCATTCATGTTGGCACAGGACAAAATGTGAAGGAGAGCATGTGTATGTGGGGGTGATGATGGGGGGGTGCTCTTATCGGGCTCTTCTTGGCAGGCGCATTCGGAGCGCCATGAAAATCCCGTCAGTAAAACGATGATATTCAGAGGCATTATGACCGCAGTCTCGCAGGCCGCTCAAAACGTCTCCATTCCCACCCAAAGGAGAGCAATTCAGAGCTCCCTCCCGTGTTCTCCCTGACGTCCCGGATGTTTAATCCCATCCGATGGCCCTGGGAAAAGCTCAGAATTGCTATCCGTTCGTGTCCGGCTGCAGCCGGCGAGCCCTAATCAAGTAAAGGTCAGCGGTACAGAGAGCGGCGGCTTTAAATGGATTATACGTGCGTGTGACTATGGAAGTTTTTCTCCGGCAGACGCTTCTGGTTAGAATGTTTATGTAGAGTCGAGACAGTGGAAAAGCAAGGTTTGCGTTAGGCCGGGAGACGAGGGCAGACTGCATGCACATGAGAAAGACCATCTCGCTGCCGTTTCTAATGCGTTTGTGTGAGATATGGATGGATGTTGGCTGCTGTTGTGAAAGAGATACTGTGGTTTGCTTTTGTGAGTGATGAATAAGTCTTGTGGAGATTGAGAAGATACCGTTTTTGTTTGTGTGTGTGAGGGCGTTTATGAGTGCGTTTGTGCGTGTGCGCGCGTGTGTGTGTGTGTGTTTGTTGGCACCCCATAGCGCCTGGCTCCTGCCCAGTACCTAATGAGATTAAGAAGCACCAAAAAAAAAAGAAAAAGAGGAAAGAGTTGGAGATAGACAAAAAAGAAGGATAGGATGAGATAGATAAAGAGGAAAAAGAGTATAGTGAAAATGGCATTTAAAGAAACAGTTCAGCTAAAAATGAAAATTGTACATTTACTCATCCTCATATTGTTCCAAACCTGTATGACTTATGTGGATCACAAAAATAGATGTTAAGCAGAATGTCCAAGCTGCTCTTTTTCATACAGTAGAAGTGAATGGGGACTGGAGCTATCAGGGTGCACAAATGACAAAAGAAAAATGTAGTCCATTCTTCTGAAAACACACACTACTGCTCAAAAGTTTGGGGTCAGTTTTATTCAGCAAGGATGCATTCGATTTATTAAACGTGACAAAATAATTTACCAAAGATTTAATTCAAATAAAATAATGTTCTTTTGAACTTTCTTTTCATCAAAAAATCCTAGGGAAAAAAACAGTTTCCACAAAAATATGAAGCAGCACATTTGTTTTCAACATTGATAATAATAAGAAATGTTTCTTGAGCAGCAAATCAGCATATTAGAATGATTTCTGAAGGATCATGTGACACTGAAGACTGGAGTAATGATGCTGAAAATTCAGCTTTGCATTTCAGGAATAAATTACAGTTTAAAATATATTCAAATAGAAGAAAAGCTCATTCAAATTGTAATAATATTTCACAATATTACAGTTTTTACTGTATTTTTTAGCAAAAAATTACAGCATTGGTGAGCAGAAGAGACTTCTTTTCAAAAACATTTTTAAAAAATCTTACTGACCCCAGACTATTTAGTAAATTTTTTAATTAAACATTAAATTGAGAGTCTTTAAGGAGGTTTCCTTTAAGAAGTCAGTTCAGTATGAGTTCAGAAGTCTTAAAATTAAGCACACGAGTCATGAGAATGACTTTTATGGCACTTTTTCTTCCTTTTTGGAGCCCCAATTCACATTCATTATATGGAAAATACCTGTGTAAATGAGGATGAATAAATGTCAAAAAAATTAATAATGTCAAAATGTTACTTTTTTTGTGAGCTATTCTATTAAGGTTAGGACATCATTTAAAGAGAGACAAAGTCGAAGAATTTAGGTTTATATGAGCACACACAAATTCTAATATCTCTAATAGTACAATACACTGTCTCTCACACACTTTACTCACTCTTTCTCTCTCTCTTTCTCAGGGAGTCCGCGTGCCTCAGCCTCTGCCCTTCATTTTCCTGCTCCCTCCATCATCCAGCAGTCCAGTCCATACTTCACCCACCCCACCATCCGCTATCACCACCATCAGGACCCGCTCAAAGAGTTCGTCCAGTTCGTTTGTGCTGACGGCTCGGGGCAGCCGGGGGCACAGGTAGTGCACACACGCACACAGACACCATCATGATTCACACAGCACCATTGGACATACACACACACACACACACACGCTGACACACATCTCTGCTAAAGTCCGTCTCTCTTACTCCTCTCTTACTTTCTCTTTCTCTTCATTATCTAACACTTGACAGTCTCCGTTTATCTTGATTTGATTTCAGTTTCATCGCCTCATTTGTTATACAAAGTGTCATGAAACACTAAAACACTCTTTTGAAACAGATATGGTAGTGTCAACAATGATTGCATGTTATATTTTTCTTCCTCTGGGTTTAAAATCAAAGATTCATCGTATGGATATGATGTAGATCTGTATCTTGAAAATGATCTGAAAAGTGGTGCAGGACACATTATAAGCCATATAAGTGTCTAGTCATTCCTTATATTAAATTATATTATTTTCCAAAAATAAGGGGAAACTGAATTCATGAAAATTACAAGACTTTACAAGAATGGAAATGTTATGTACATCATATTAACTACTATTATGATGCTTTTATGTCCTTTTTGTAGCTTCGCAGCCCCTGTCCCCATTTACTTTTATAGTATGGATTATTGAAAATAAATATATAATTCAAATATGATATCATGATCATTTTTCCATGAAAAAGGAAAAAAAAAGAAGAGAAAATTCAGTAGCATGATTAACTGTGGAGACCGAATCAAATTTTACGAGCGCTTTAGCAAAAAGTCCGTTAGTGAAATAGGTGTGTTTGCTGTTCCCTTTGCTTTTGCATTTTTCGAAACCGATCTGAAATAAAATGTCATGTTTCATGACACTTTAGTAACTCGGTGTATGTTTATTAATTTTTTAATGTATTTGTACGTTAGTAACATTCCAATCTCACCCTTTGTGATTGCACGCCTCCACATGTATCTGTGTGTGTGTGCGCGTGTGCCTCTTTCACTCCCTCACCATCTGTATGTGTGTGTGTGTGTGTGTATCTGCAGCCTAACGGGAGCGGTCAGAACAAACTGCCCGGCTCCTTCTTACTGCCACCTCCTCCTCCTCCGGTAGCGCGGCCGGTGCCGATGCCCCTCCCCCTGCCCGAGCACAAACCCAGCCACACACACCCCGAGAGCGGAGTCGGCTCCCCGGCCTCGCCCTGTAAGTGTCCGCTCAAGCACCAGACCCACCAGAGCCCTCGAAAACGCCCCATTACCGCTGCATCAACTCTTTGAGTGGTAGAACCACGACTTTTGACCATTAGGCCCGAAACATACCCTACGCAAGTACGCAAATAGTTCTAGCTGCGTTTCAAAATGTATCGCGGGCATTTGCGTAAAAACAAAAATATATTTTACGGTCAGTTTTCTCAAAGTTATTTGAGGTAGTTAAACTATTGACATGTTTATATTTAGCTGGATAATAAAACAACCGGCTTTTTTAAAGGAAACTCTCGTGCCCCCTTGAGTACCCAAATTTGTTGACGCCACAATAACACACACTAATAATATGTAAAAGATCATGCATTCCTGTTTGCATACTTGCGTGAAGTATATTTCTGGCTTTAGATGCCCTGCTCTTCTCCATCCGACTTTTTTCTTTGTTCATTTTTCTCATTCTATTCCCTTTTCATCCTGCTTTTTCATTTATTTATCCGATTGCAATCAGTCACTGACTTTTGCAATTGAATGGAGATGGAGACACTCCGCTGCCTCTCATTGGCTGAAACCAAGCAAGAACATCAGCCAATCATTCCCATAGATCAGCCTCCCTCCTCATCACTCTCACTTTTCATTTTCCTTTCTTTCTTTTCTTCCTTCAAGAGATCAAATTCAGGGCAGCTGGCATGGACTCCAAACAAACAAACAAAAAATGACGCCCCACATTCAGCGAGAGTGCCTTTCCATTGACACTTCAAGCTAAATACAAAAAGGAAATGTGTGTAGACGTGCAGGTGAAGGGATTTGTAATGTGTCTGGCAGTGTGTGAGAGCGACGGCACTGGGTTGTGGGTCTTTGCTTGGGATGTGTGTGTGTCGGGTGCTGTCAGCAGGGCGGGTGGGCAGAAGGAGGAGCCTGGTTGAGCAAACCTTTGAGAAGATCACTTTTTTTTCCATTCTCACTTGTGAATGTTCTATTTCTTTCTGTGTTTTTCTCATTCGTTCATTTCATATCTATGGAATGGTGTATCAGTCTCAACCTGTTGTAGTATCCCTCCATTTTTTACCTTCCATCTTTCGGTGCTTTTACACACAGCAGCAGCCTTTTTCAGTCATATTAAGAAAATCACATGCACACAAACACATTTAAACACTTCTGCAAACATATAAATGCTCCTCATATCCCATGGAGTCCACTCCGCAAAACTGCCCTGAATTTGAAATTTGAATTTGAAAGTGAATTCAAAAAGGTTTGAATTTTATTTTACATTTTGGCATTTTCAACTAAAAGTCAGATTTTTTTTTTCTCAGTTCAAATTACACCCTCCCCAACCCCTGCACAACTGCCCTGAATTTAATATTTGAATATAAAATTTAATTTAAAAATGTTTGAATTTTAAAAATTGTCGTTTTTTTGTTGTTGTTCAAATTCTCCCTCCCACACCTGCACAACTTTTACCTGAACAATATTTCCTTCAAATCCTTGATCCCAAACTTCAGTTTCATCTTCATGGCATCTTCATGACATATTGAAAGCAAATATGTGAGCTCATACTGAGCATGCAAATTTAGTTATTATAGTACTCCAAGGAAAGTAATCCATTTTCTATAAATCGGTTGATGCTGGTGCAACTCTTACTACTGTTAAAGATTTCTGTGCAAGCAGCGACAGACATAGAACTGAATTTAAAAAAAAAGATTTCAGACATATTTCAGGCATTCATTCTGTCTGCCGTTGGTCCAAGAAGGACTACAATACCTAGAGAAATCTATCCATTAGCATTCCCATTCATCTCAATGACAGTTTTTTGGCTGGTGCGCTTGCTTATGTTTGATTATGGGTTCTTAGTGCCAAGCCTTTCAATAGTGAATATTCTAAGCTGTGTCATTAAAGGAAGCAGAAGACATAAAGTCCCATTATGTTTCCAAAAACAATCGGTCAGCATCCAAACATCTACTAGAATTCAAAGTTTAATATTTAAGAATATTTTTCATTTTAAATAAATTTTTTTAATATAATTAATATTAAATAATAATTCCAATCTGTATGTCCCATTCCTATGGAAGCCCATTTCCGCCACTGAATAAAAAATAAAAAAAGGTTATTGCGACTTTTTATCTCATAATTCTGACTTTTTTTCTCGCAATTCCGAGAAATAAAATGCAAGCTTCTTATTGAAATCTTTACAAAACAAACATAAACATCACAGCTGTGAATGCTGACAGACGTGTGTGTGTCCCAGCAGCATACCCAGCGCCAGGCTCCACAGCTTCCAACAGGTTTGTCGGCATCGGATCACGGGACAACTTTCTGAACATCCCACAGCAGACTCAGGTACATGCATACATGCAGATTTACTTTAGGGACATGTGTGGCATGCTGTTGATTAGCTTACCACTGATAATGTGTGCATAATCAAATGGGAAACATGTTTGCAGTAAATACAGTTTTAATTGAAGCTTAGCAAGCAAGTCGCAGAGCATTTTGTCCATTTCTATTTCACTCAAACACAAATACGAGCTGCTGCTCATTTTTGCGTTCAGACCCTCGGGCCTGTTTGTCTGGTAGGCTTCCACTGAAAGTGTATTTACTGTAAACACATGTCCTGTTTGTTTATACAATCTGAGGAAGGAGTCTGTGCTCCTCAGCAACATCATGCTAAAGATGTGGTGCGTTGACATTAAGTCGAAAATACCCTAGAATATTTCTTTAAATGGAAAATAGCAGGCTTTTCAGTCCATCCATCAATCGGGTGTTTTTGATCAGCAAGTATTGTGGGTCTGAGCGTTGTTAAGTGCATGTGGTTGGTAGCAGTCAGCGGCTCTCTGGGGGTTTGCTGAGGGACACGCTGATCATCTCAAATGGATTTTGTGGCTGTGTTCCCACTCGCACCAGCTATAAAAACCACAAGCACTAACAATAAGACCGTACACATGGAAACAATTGTTTCCTCCTCCTCCTCACTGATTCCAAAACCAAATGTCTTATGATTCATCAGATTTATCATGTAAGAAAGTAAGTATGACTTTGCAGTGTCTTCTTTTTTCTGTCATAAAGTCCTGCATATACATTTACACATTTGCAGCGTCCAAAATTTACTTTTTGCCTCATCTGCTAATGGCAGGTTAATCAAATTAATGCATCCTTGCTGAATAAAAGTACTAATTTCTTAAAAAATAAAATCCCAAAATTTTAAATGGTAGTGTTTAATGGTATCTTACTAAAGATATAATACGTTTATTTTACCTATAGCTTTGTAATTATTGAATGACAGCACGGATTAATGTGCAGCTCTAATGTATATGAGATTAGCCAGTCTCCATCACTTGGTTAAACACCACCTGTCACAAAAATGTAAAGACCCTATTAGATTTGGTTTGTGTTCTTGTCTTGGTGGCTTATTGCAAAGAATATTCCACATTGTATGCCGCCACATGGAGTTCTGGATGGAAAAAAAGACTTTTAGATGCATCCTAGTAAACTTCTGATTACAACATTTCCACTGAGAGAAAAAGTTGTTAGAAGAGAAAAGTTGTTCAGCGAGGGTCATTTGTACTATCCTCTGACTGATGAGTAAACCATTTTTTAATTTTTCAGATGGATGTGCTGTGACGGACTGAGCATTGGTCTAGTTCACATGGGTTAAAAGTAGTTTTAACATGCGATTCTATGCAAGAGAGAAAGTCTGACATATTGAGGAAAGAGAGAGAGAGGGTGTCACGTCCAGACTGTCTGGTTGCCCTCAGCAACCAGACATGATGTCATAGGTAGTTAACAGGAGACAACTTAAGAAAATGGATGGACACCACTACTGAGGATTACAGCAAGAAAGAGACAGAAAGATAATATAAGTCCCGCAGGGATCCACAGATTTTCTTTTTTAGAACTTTTAGTGAGTCAAACATCAGCAAACTTCTTAAGTCAAGTATTTCTCTCTAGATACCATACTAAAACCAGCAGGGGACAATGTTAGCTTTGTTTAAGCATTCATTTTGCTGGGGGAAGCAGTGACACTGAGATTTCTGAGCTGGTCTGTAGTAGTAGTGTGAGTGTTTATATTGTGTCCACTGTACTCTAGTGGTTATTCTGAGAACTGTCACAGTGCACTGATAAAAATGTCAAACTGTCAGGAATAGTTCACTCAACAGTAAACATTCTTTTGAAGTGTTTTCATATGCTGTCCCTGCCTTCGTGTCATTCCATTCAAAAGTTGGTCAAAAAAGTATTTTATCACCAAGGCTGCATTTATTTTATCAAAACGGCAGAAATAAATGTGAAAAATTATTAATTTCAAATAAATGTTTTCTATTCCTGTGATGCAAAGCTAAATTTTCAGCATCATTACTCCAGGCTTCAGTGTCACATGATCCTTCAGAAATCATTCTAATATGCTGATTTGCTGCTCAAGAAACATTATTATTAGCAAGGTTGAAAACAGTTAATATTTTTAACTCTTTTAATATATTACTGCTTCATTTTTTGGTGAAAACCTTGCTTACCGGCATTATAAAAGTCTGTACTGTCACTTGATCAATATAGTGCATCCTTGCTGAATAAAAGTATTAATTTATACTCAAAACTGTGTCCAAACTTTTGAACACAGTCATTACTTGCTGAAAACTTTCCCCTCAAATCCATCCGCTGTATATTTCAAATCTCATGCAAGTCTGTGTATATTTACATATTGCACACTTTTAACATCAAATACATTCTTGATAAAAAAAAATTTCAATGGAAGAGAGAAAGTTTTAGGACATGAATTTCCCTGTTTGAGCAAACAATTTCTATATTTTTAAGAGGAATAGGATAGAAAACTCATTTACTCAGTCATTTAAAATTTGGTTATGAAACAAATTAACTAAGGTTATTTTTAAAATGACTCGCATTTCTTTCCTTTTCTTTCAGTCATGGTTCCTTTGACGAGACTTTTCATAAACCACACAGACACAAATCCACAATGAAAACTGGAAATGGAGTCACAAAGCTAAGTATGGAACTTTCCCACATGCCCCCCTGTAAAGTCTCTCTCACACACAAACACACGCACAAATACACACACCATTCCCCCAAACGATGAGGGATCTGGAAGACTTCAGCATTACCCTGCCAGTCTGGACAGCTCGGAGAACCAAACAAAGGAACGACAAACCGACGTCTTCGTCGTGTTCCCGAGACATCCAGCACATAGACCAATCCCGTCTACCTTCCTTTAATTTGTTCATCCACCAGTCATATGCCATGGTGAGGAAATCCATCTCTTCCTAGTCAGAACTCTATTCAGAAATTGAAATCATCGAAAAGGGACATTTGAAATGGACATGTAACCTGGATGATGTCAGACGCGTGTGATTGGATGGAGAGACTTGGCTGGAGCCTTCTGATTGGCTCAGGCTTACACTTCCTAATCTGGATTTACTGATTTTGGTGACGCCCTCCAGTGCAGTGTGAACTCGGCATCCTCTCACTGTTTACCAGTTGACCAGCAAAACAACAGATAACACTAACCGAGTGCAATTCACCTAAAATGTGATTAATGATAAGGGATGACAGAAGCTTTGGCCTTAGATTTGAGATGTGGAGTCAGGCTACATGTTTTGTAAGGTAAAACACACACAGATGAGTTCCAGCAGAGCAATACACACACGTCAATGACAGCACTACACAGCATCATATAGACAGACAGCTGATCACAGGAATGGGAAGGGTCAAGCACGAGTGACTTTAATGTCAAGCTTGTGACTCAACGAACATTTTTCATTTTGTAGTGTTTATGAATTAAAAGGCCAGTGATTTGAGTCATAAAACCGGTTCGCATGAACTAACGAGGGTTTTGGCGCATCCGTCGCTGACCTCTTCGCTAACATCGATCAATTGGAGTGCTTGTGCATCATATCATATATCCTACAGTCAGCCCTGCACACAAGGGCTTCTTCTGCTTTACTTTGCGTTTAGTTTTGCAGTAATTTTTTTTTTTTTTTTGAATGTCAAAATTAACAAAAAAATTAATAAAACATTCTGGTCATATATCACCCCAAAAACTAAATTCAAAAATTTATTTTGAAAAGCAGACAGAAATATGATTTTTTTTTAAAGCGTATTTAATTAATAATTATTTATTGTGAAATGGTCATAATAACGAAGCCATTTTTTCTGAAATTCTCATGCAAAAAATCAAAATCAAAAATCAAACAATTAAAAAATAATAATAAATAATTATTACAATTAAAATTTTTCATCCATAATTTACTTTGACTAATTTACTAATGAGAATTATGGATGAAAATGTTTAATTGTCCTAAAAAATATTGTCACAATGCAAGCAATCTCAATGACCCAAAAATAGGCTTCAATTTCATTTAAAATATTATTTTTTTAATATATTTATTTTGATTCTGGAATGTGACCTGGATGTGTTTTTGTGACATTCACCCTTTCACTTGTGTTTGTTTTCTGGTTTTGTGCGATTTTAGTATGCATAACATAATTTCTGCTCCGGCAGATCGGACTGCATGTGGAATTGTGCTTTTTTTGTTTTTAGAGTTACAGGTTAAGATCAGCTCTCCTTCAACTAGAATGTGACTAACAAACAGACAATCTCAAGTTTACCTTTTGGAGCTTCATTAATTAGATGTTTTTGATGGCTATTATGTCAACAGTGCTCTGCCCTTCCATCACTTTACAGTTCATTCATAACTTTACCGCTTTCTGTTTTTTCTCCACTGCTCAGTTGTTTGTTTCAGTTCACGAGTACAGCCTGACTCGCACGACAATCTAATTTCATTTAGCCTATCAGCACAGTGCTCAACTAAAGTACATACATGCACACATACACAAACATTGCACTATGAAACACACCCACTTCCTTAAAGGACAAAGGGAAACCTTTAAACTCATCCCTCTATTAAACATGATTTTACAACATGCACCCTATTTAAAGTACAGCATGTTTCAAATTTAGATGAACTCGAAAAAGAGAATGCTCGAAACCACTGACCTCACTAAATAACTGGACTGCCTGGCTGTCAATCACATTGTCAGGGACTCTGATTGGCTGAGAGCTGACCATTTTATCATCCACTTGAAACACATCAAAGTGCCTCGGTGTCCCCTTTACATGCAATTCAGGGTCTTCACTTCATGTATAAGCTAGAGAAAATTTGTACAATATGTATCATGGGCTTGGCAAACAACATATGAGCAACTGCAAACATCATATTTATAGATAGATGTTATCCAGAACATATCGTACTCATACTGTGTGTGTGTGTGTGTATGTATATATATATATATATATATATATATATGGACATATGTATAGTTTTTCCGCTGTGAAATTAGCTCTATAGCAGTCTAGTTATTTTGTGACCTTTGACCCGAGTCAGTGGTTTCATCGGAAAACGTCCAAACATATGAAACCCACAAATGTCAGATCATCTCGTCAGAAGCGCCAGAAATGTTGTATCAGGTCAGTGCAGACACAAATACACCTTCAGAACAGACACCAATTTTTCAGAGAAAACACATTCTTTTTGTTGAAAAGTTTTATTATTGAGAGAGAGAAAAAAAAGTTCTATGTGGACTGAGCCGTGTGCAATGTGTTGGGTAGATATCTGTGTTTGTCTTCAGATTTTTAAGAAAGCGAAGCAAGTGGAAAAAAGACAAAACAAAAAAAGAAAGTCTGCAAGCTCCTGGACTCTAAACACGAGGGCCACAAAAAGAATCCCAGTCTTTGTAAGCGTTAAAGGCGGGAAGTTAATTTTGACTTTTCATTTATCTTTTTTAATGTTTTATTTGTATGCTTTGGTTTTTAAACTATTTTAGGGGTGGGGGCCGAAGGAACAATTTTACAAAAGCAAATGTATTATGACAAAAAAAAAAAAATTTAAATAAATAAATACTGGTGCTTGTTACTCGAGCGCAAATAATACCACACCAGAACGACTGTTTCTGACGAGACAAGTTTTACGAGCCTCTGTTTCTCTCTTCTTCTCTTTTGTATTTACTAAAGGGGTTCAGATTTTTATATATATATTTTGGTTCTGACAAAAGGCATTTTACTACAACCTTTAAGAAAGCAATGCCCCTTCTTACTCCTTCAAATGTCTAGATAAATGGTGCATTCAAGTTTGTCGGAAAGATTGGATTTGAGGTGAACGCTCATGAATGCAGCATCTGTAATTAGCGGTAAGGTTGTTTAAAATGTACGAAATTATGTTTTTCATTTACAATAATGTTGTGTAATAAATTATGATAGTACTCCACAGTTGCGATATAATGCATAACAATTGCACCTTCATAAATTGAATAAAAACTTTAAAAAAGCACAAATATACCTGATGCACATTATTTGTAATTTTGCAGTTAAAAATGACTTCGCAACTCATAAATACAAACTTCCCAGGAGGACTTGAATGCACCAAAATACCTGATAAGCAGAAAAGCGTGTTTTGATGGGTGGAATGGCCAAAATGAAGCATCACAACTAGAGGGTTCGTCACAAGCAACCAGATCACATTTGCTCCAAATCTCTGCTTCATTTAGATGAGATCGTGTCGATGTTAATGTGAGTAGGGTTTCGTTAGTCGTAGTTTAGAGCACACAAGGTTCGAGTCGAGAGGCAAAAACGCGTCTGGAAAAACGGCTACCCCGTATCGTCCTGTAAACACTTCCTGTATGTAAATGAGCTCCCATAGTGTTCGTGCTGTAGTGTATAGGTGAGCATTTAAAGGTTGTCCCATTCAAAGTGCCTTTTGTTCACAGACACCATCTTGTAAATGATGAACACCCATCTCTCCTCCTGAGCTTTCTCAAGCCGTATTCACAGTATATAGTACTACAAGAAAATGGATGTGATTTCGTTCTTTTTATTGTACAATGATGGGGGGGGTAAAAAGTTAAAAAGAAAAAAAATTGATTTAAAAAAAAAACATCGGGTCCCTATTTCTCTGTACCTCTGTCTTTATCAGTCTCTCGCTCTTGGCGCCGTAGATGTCTATCCTTATCTTTCCTCCCTCTCCCTACTTTTGATGAAAGAGTTAAAAAAAAAAAGTTGAACCTTTTTCTCTTGAGCAAGATGTTGTAAACTCTAATGTTGTATCCCTGTCTGTATGCTTCACATGTTTATATCATACACACCTCTCGCTCTTCGGTCAAACGCAATGGGCTCTGAGTACAAACTGACCCGGGACCGACCCGCTCGCCCTCCCTACATCTGAGACCAGCAGTACCGGTGTGTCTTGGGAAGCGGTGTGGTCCTGGTGCCAGATCTGTTTGGCTGTCGGTAGAGAGCGCTGGACCAGAAGATACACAGTAGCTCTGTCGTGTTTGTTTGTGTTGTATTTATTTCCGTTAAGTCTCGCTGTTGACTCCGCAATTAAAGCACCTTTTTAGTGGTTGTTTGAGAACAGCTGTTTAAAGAACTTGACTGATGATTTGCTAATCGCACCTTATGCACCGATTAAAACCCTGCACTAAGAATAATATGCCCTGCATTTAGAAGTACTGATCCAGATGTGGCGGCAGCTTTGTTGTCAATGGTTGGACTAGTAATAGATAGGCTACATGTTCAATCCCAGCTGCTCCACTTAAAATACTTCAAGCAGTGCATTTTTTCTAAGCACCATATTAATCATTATAGTAGATGTTTCAGCAGTGAACAATTTTTAGTGGATATAGAAATAGACGAGCATAAATGATGAAAACGATAACTACAAAGTTTTAATAATCATTCTAATTCTATAAGAATAGAGACGTCCGCAACGAGACAGAGGAACGATATTGTTGGAGTCACTTTCAGAACATTTGTTTTCCAGCTAATGAACAATAAAAACATTAACAGCCAATCAGAGTCCATCTTTGATGATTTAAAGTGGAAGATGACAAAACTAGCCTATAGCATGCACTTTATTGGTGCGTTAGTGTAGATGCTAATATAGTTATTGTTCTTGGTGTGCCAGTCAAGCAACTGCCATTGAGATGCTATGCATGTGTAGTATGATACTTTGATCATCTTAATTAAAATAATCCATTGATATTTTTCTTAATGTACATTACTTTTTACATGCACACCATGCTGAAGTGATTAAGAGTCAGTAACACTAAAATCAGAATTATTAATTTAATCATTCAGAATCTGCCCCGATTTACTCGTGCTTATGTAGCCGTATGTGTTTTTTAAATATCTACCCGGATTGTGTCTCTGCTGTCGATGTGTTTTGGTACAGAAGCGTCTCTGATCCAGTGCTCTCTGTCGCTGCGCGCCTCCACAGAGCCTTTGGCAATCTGCATGTGTTATTTACAGATTCTTTTCCATTATAAAAAACTAAAACGTTTGTAAAGAGCAGCACCTGATTGAATAAATTATGTTCTTGACTGTACAACGATTCTGATATGGGTTTGTTTTATGGTGAGAAACTGATGCCACTCTGAAACTTTTCTTTGCAATAAGAGTTTATTGATCCCAGGGGAGTTCAAGCTATAGTAAAATCAAATGATTAATTACTAACAAACAGGCCTACATGGAATCTGCATCCACAAAGCTCTGCTGATTTCCACCACGTTAATACATTAAAGAATTTAATAATACATTATTCAGCAATGAGAGCATTGCATTTAACAAAAATGACCATTTATTTTGAAGACTAGGTCAGACTTCATGTAGGCCTGCTGATAAGTAAACAAGAGTCTACTGTCTGGCAGTTTGGCTACTACATTACAAAGGAGCGTTTTTTGCTATGAGCGAAAACAATGTAAAGTTGAGTCGCTGCCGAAGGCTCTTTCCCTCTGCTGCTGAACTTGCTTTAAGAGGTGAATGTTACAAGACTTTACTCTCAATACATGAACAGAGGGACCCATTGTCAGCTTCACAGCAATATGATTCAAGAAAATCTCTCTTTGACAGGACTTAATCTGGTGGAGTATCATCATGCTGTAACAGGTCTCTGCTTTTGGCTTCTGAAATGCAGTGACCTCTAGTGCGCCAAAAACCTCTTGTTGGTCCTCGTATGAATATAAGCAAAGCTAATGTCATGAAAAATGATCCTTATTTATATTTGTGACCTACAGTTAACGGAGTTTACTAAGTTTAAATAAGAAGCTTTTTAAAGTCAACATGAAATTGACTATTTACGCTCTTAAAGCACGTATGCATGGAATTATGCACAAACTGTATTGTAAATTAAAAAAAAAAAGTTATCAAAATAATTTAAAATGTCAGGCAAGAAGGAACAAATCCTTCATTTTTGAGTCCCATTCTACATTTTGGTGAATTAGATTTCTTATTAAACTTGCAAATACAAACAGCTTGCGACTGCCATTTCATGTTGACTTTAAATAGGACAAATGATCTTTTGAATTCAAGTACATTCAAAACCATCATCACTCGGATTATGGTATTCCACATGATATGGATTCGTTTGCAGAACTGCATAATTTTAGGTCATTTGTTTTGCTGAGAAAGTTACAGAAATGCTATAATTTGCACTAATTGTTTCATTTTTGAATGCTGTTATCACATTCATCAGAGGTGTGTGCTCGGAGAAATACAGAAATATCTCTGATTTTAGAGAAATATATAAAATCCTCCATTAGACATATATCATTAATCCTTATCCCAACTAAAAACAACCAAGCAAATGCGTATGCCCACATCTAACCTCCTCATAACCCATAATAATAAATCAGAGCGTTTGCTTTCAATTGATGCTGATTTAGTCAAATATATTCCCTAAGGGAACACGCATACACACGTGCAAGCACACTTCTTCAACATGCTAGAGTGCATTCAACCCAAATGCCGTCAATTCCATTGGAATTTGTTCACCGAGTGATTGCATCCGCCCCATCCCCAACCAGTCTGCGAGTCTCCCCTTGACTTGTAAACTCAAAGAAATAATGGGGGGAAACCGGTGTCCCGAGTAGATGCAGCGCTTGTGTGGTGGCAGGGGAGGGGGCACGTGGGCTCTCCGCGACTCTCACTCGTCCTCGAAATTCTGATTGAGCAGGAAGTTTGCAGCCAGGTTCTCGTTCTTCTCACAGGCGAAGTACGCCTGGACCACAAGAGCTTCTGAAAACCCCAGAGCTTTTAACTGAGAGAGAAAGACAGACAGGTTAGATTAGTTGCTTTCCATTTGTGCGACACTGGGTTATTATAGTTGACAAAATCTAAATCTATTTAAAAAAAAAATTTTTTTTTTTACTTTTTCAATTTCATCTGGTTGGTAAGGTAACATTTCTCATTTTCATTTAGTTAAACTTGATATACTGAAGTAAATAAAACTTTGGAATAATTTCTAGTTTTTAAAAATATTTTTGAAAGAATTCTCACCAAGGCTGCATTTATTTGATAAAATACAGTAAAATTCTAAAATATTACAATTTAAAATAACTGTTTTCTATGTGAATATATTTTAAAATGTGATTTATTTCTGTGATGCAAAGCTGAATTTTCAGCATCATTACTCCAGTCTTCAGTGTCACATGATCCTTCAGAAATCATTCTAATATGCTGATCTGCTGCTCAAGAAACATTTCTTTTTATCAATGTTGAAAACAGTTGTAGGAGTGCTTCATATTTTTGTATAAATTGATATGCTACTATTCAAAGGTTTGAAGAAAGAGAAAAAAATCTTAAATTTTTTTTAATAAAATGTAAACAGTTTCTACAAAATATTAAGCAGCAAAACCTGTTTTCAACATTTTAAAAACAGATCTACAGATATACAACAAATATACAGATAAAAGCTCATTCAAACTAACTCACAATAAAACTGGTGTGAGGTATCACAAACGAAGTTGCAGAAATGGATGGAAGTTTGAATCTATTAAGGTTGTATTGGGGGAACCACATTCAAACTCACCACAAATAAACACACAAATGGTTGAATATGGTACAAGTAACTCTGTCTGGCCAGACGTCCCGTTCAGTGGCCCGTTCACTCACCCTCTCGATAGCTTCTTTCTCCTGTTGCGTCACTTGGATGTAACTCCCAGGTGCCGCCTCGTCACCGAGAGCACCCAAATCAGCAAACTCTCCGCCCTCGCCACCCTCGACTTCCCCCTCACCCACCGGTGCGTTCAACATCTGGATGAAGAGCTCCTGATGCTGGCTGATTTGCTGGAATCAATGAAACATGGTCACATGGTGAGTAAAAGACTTGAGAGCGTGCACAAACAGACTCTGTGAGGCTTCGTGCTGGAGATGTGTGATCACCTGCAGGAGTTCAGGGTTCTCCTGGCCCAGCTGCTGCAGGAGGGCCGGCAGTAAGGATGGGTTCTGCTGGATCACCTGCCTCATGCTCTGGAACTGCGGCTGAGAGCGCAAGAACTCCAGCGGATTCTCACCTAACAACAACAAACGCTCCGTCAACTCATGGTAGGGACAGGCCGTGTACTGAATGCTGACAGTATATTTGCAATATGCAATCATTTAAATGTGCATTTTGTTTTAATAAAATCATTAAATGGCTATTAAAAGTAAACAAACGAGGTTAAATTACAGTAGTAAAAATGGCATTAAAGTTTGCCAGTTGGATTCCTTTCCATCAATTAATCATTTTCGACTCTGATTCAAATGTATGATTCGCTTGCATAAAATATATTCATAAAAGCCTTCCCTATATATTAGAATGTTTTAGTGAAAAAACACATCATTGCATACAAATTCTTATTCAAATTCGCATACATATTCTTTTTGTGCTAATTTTTTTAAAAACAGTGTGGAAATTACGTTTTAATTGTTTTTGCTTGAAAATATACACCACCGTTCAAATGTTTTGGGTTAGAAAGATTTTTTTTTTTTTAAGAAATTAATATTTTTATTCAGCAAGGATGTAATAAATTGATCAAAAGTGACAGTACTGGCATCTATAATGTTAGAAAAAAAAATCTAGTTTAAATAAATGGCATTCTTTTTAACTGCTATTTCATCAAAGAATCCTAAGGAAAAATGTATTATGGTTTTTTAACAATAATATTAAGCAGCAGAAGTGCGTTCAACATTGATAAGAAATATTTAAAGAGCAGCAAATCAGCATATTAGAATGATTTCTGAAGGATCATGTGACGCTGAAGACTGGAGTAATGATGCTGAAAATCAGTTTTGATCATAGCAATAAATTACATTTGAAAATATATTCAAACAGAAAACAGTTATTTTAAATTGTAATAATATTTTGTCTTTACTGAGCAGAAGAGAGTTCTTACAAACTCCAAACGGTAGTGTAGATTTCTTTAAAAATGATAGTTCCTCTTTTGGGAATAAACAGCTTTGTAAGTGCATTTATTTCAAGCACCATCTCACCTTCTGCGGGCTGCGTGTCTGTGGGGAGCTGAGCTGGAGCAGGACTGGTTTCCTGCACTGGGACAGTAGGAATCCCCTGAGACAGGACACAACAGTACATCAGATTCACAAACATGCATGGAGCTCTCTTAAAAACATACACAAGAATAATAATAATAAAAAAGAGCAAGCGTGACTGGTGTTATAAATGCATTTGGAAAGCAAAAGCACGCTCACACTCACATTGAGCAGATACTCCACAGCACGGTGAGGGTTGTTATAGCTGGCCTTGAGTGCTGCCACCACTTTATCTCTCTCATAGCCCATAGACATGATATTTGTGAGCATGGCATCATACTCCTGACCTTTGACTGCAAAACACATGTGCATGAACATCTGAGAGATAAAAAACCAACTCGACACATTTACTGCAAATTAACCATCAAGATTTTCAGAGTCAAGCTGATGAAGACAGTCTCTCAGCATGATTTTCTCAGTACCTAATGTTGAAGATGCATCTTCCCCATCGGCCCCGAGACCTGAGCCACTGCAAAACAAACACAGATTATGATTCATGATTTATCGCAGCGGTCCGCAGTGTTTGTGACACTTTCATTTTAATCTAGTATTGAGGGTTATTTTAAATCATGGTAAGCAGTATATACAGTATATATGAATAATTATATATATATATATATATATATATACTGTATATATAGATGCTTTTATCCAAAGCAACTTACAAATGAGGACAATAGAAGCAATTAAAACCAAAAAAAGAGCAATATATATAAATATATATATATATATTAGTGCTGTCAAACGATTAATCGCAATTAATCACATCCAAAATAAGTTTTTGTATGCATAATATATGTGTGTGTTCTGTGTATATTTATTATGTATATAAATACACACACATGCAGTATATATATTGAAAATATTTACATGTATTTACATGTCTATTTATATTCATATAATTACATTATAAAGCACTAATATATATATATATATATATATATATAAAAATTTTTTTTTAAATGAATCTATTTTAGAATTCTAAATAGATATTAAATTACTTTTTTTTAATTCTATTTAATACTTTATTAAAACAAATATAATTATATATTAAATAACCAGGGTACTATCTATTTTTTTGATAATAGAGTTAATAATTCCATTTTATTATTTTTCACCAGATTTTTTTGTATTAGGAACTTCATGGAAGCAAAGTAAAATATAAGATTATTTATAGAGCCCGACCGATATGGGTTTTTTCGGGGCCAATACCGATATTAGGGAGTAAAAAAAGATATATCGATATATCGGCCGATATTCTTTGTGTTTATTATAGTACAGTACCAGTCAAAAGTTTGGACACTTTCCAAACATTTGACTGGTACTATAAATAGAATACAGTATATACATAAACAGAATATATATACAGTATCTCACAGAAGTGAGTACACCCCTCACATTTTTGTAAATATTTTATTATATCTTTTCATGTGACAACACTGAAGAAATGACACTTTGCTACAATGTAAAGTAGTGAGTGTACAGCTTGTATAACATCAATTTAATTCAATTCTATTCAACTTTATTCCGTTGAAGTTTATTTCACTTCGGGAACATTCATTCACGGATTTGCGCTACCGTCTTCACACACAGACGAAACTTACTAGAGAAGTGTGAAGTGTGACATAATATACCTCTGTAAATAAATATTGGGGGTCCCTTCAGCTGGAGGAGCCCTCTCAAATGCCACCCTCCGCTCGTTGGTAGCCCCCCGGGATCGCTAGATCGGTCGGCGCCGGACCGCGAATTTAACCACCCGTAACTCCCGAACCCCGGGGGCTATCGACGCGGGGGTACACTCGATTCGCGTTCAAGAGGGTTCCTCGAGCTGAAGGGATCCCCCGAATTTGGTGCGGATTCGCCGCGCCGTTACGGAGATATGGCCGTTCAAAGTTTCAATGGTTTTCCATAGATTTAAGCTTTAAAGCGTTTCATCCAGGTCGCCAGTAGCAAACAATGGAGCGCGCTCTGCTGGACAAACTAAGTAATTACACCATTTCAAGCATTTTATCTGCGGTATATGTTCTGTAAAAACAATTTGCATTTCGGTGCCATATTTGCCGATACCGATATATCGGCGACAGGCTCATATCGGCCGATAATATCGGCAAAACTATATATCGGTCGGGCTCTAATTATTTATAACTAATAAATTGCTTTTCGCTCTTACATGACAATAATTTAAAGCAGTCAGCCCAGTCATGCAAATATATCTACTACAGATATATAAACAGTGTAGAAAAATACACCATTTATGACAGGATTCCTGGTTGAGTCTCACCGGTCTGGGCTCTGGGCAGGCGAGACGGTTGCAGGAGGGTCGTCTGAACACTCGTCTCTGGGGATGGGAATGGCTGCAGGGGCTGGAACGGGAGGAGGAGAGGAGGAAGAGGAGGAAGAGGAAGGCACAGCAACAGATTTGGGTAGTTCTGAGGGTGGAGTGGGTGGTCCTGGTACTTTTGTCTGGACAGAAAAAGAAAAAAAAATGGTAAAAAGAAAAAAAATGGTTCTTAAGATCTTTTGATTGTTATCTTAATTCAGACGGTCAGTGGTCAACTCTGACCTTTGACACCATCACCACCACAAAGTTCTTCTCGTCGATTTTGTACTCCTTGATGGGCGTATCATCCTGCAGGATTTTCCCAGCGTAGATCAGCTTCTGTCCCGCTACTGGAAAACTTTCTCGGCCCTTCTCAGCCTCAATCTTCTCTTTCAATGCCTTCACCTGAGTCAAAACCATAATTATAATTATTAAAGTCATACATTTACATCATCAAAGGAAAATAATACATGGATATTTAAGCAACCAGACATGCTCTGACCACTATTTCAAGCCTGTCTTTTAATAATACTGTTATAACAATGGTGTTATCTTTAAATATGAGACCCTGGACCACCAAATAAGGGGCAATTTTTTGAAAATGAGATTTATACATCATCTGAAAGCTGAATAAATAAGCTTTCCATTGATGTATGGTTTGTTAGGATAGGACAATATTTTTTCTGAGATACAACTATTTGAAGATCTGGAATCTGAGGGTGCAAAAATAAAAATAAAAAAAAAAGTGAGAAAATCACCTTTAAAGTTGTCCAAATTAAGTTCTTAGTAACGCATGTTACTAATCAAAAATGAAGTTTTGATATATTTACGGTAGGAAATTTACTAAATATCTTCATGGAACATGATCTTTACTTAATATCCTAATGATTTTGGGAATAAAAGAAAAATCGATTATTTTGACCCATACACTGTATTGTTGGCTATTGCTACAAATATACACATGCTACTTATGACTGGTTTTGTGCTCCAGGGTCACAAATAATCTGTAACTCTATATTATTCTATAGTACATAAACCTGACTGACTAATTATCGTGAGTTGCATTTGTTTAAACTATACTATACAGACAAATATCTATCTATCGCCTTACACGATCAGCTGATCCCCAATGACTCATAAACGACTCAAAAAGCCACTTAAATCGCTCTAAATATGCTCCTGTCGTGAATAGTTATTCATTCAGAGTACTTCTACTTGTTGTAACGTATTTAGATGAGCGAGAGAAAGCGCATAAATACCGTCTGCTCATCGTCGATGTCTATTTGAATGGTCTGCTGCTGCAAAGTCTTCAGTGTGATCTGCATGATTGCTCTGCCTTCGTCTTCTCCTGTCTTTTTGATTCGGGACCTTTGAGCACTTCTAATCCAGAGGAAATGTTTGACTTTGAAAGCGAGGGACCGGTATTAAGCGTTTAGAGATGTAGCTCTCTAGCTAACAGGCTAAAAACACGCCTGTCAGGTGCGCTGCGGCATTTTCTTCGGCGGTGGCGGAGCGGAGGAAGGGGCTCTGACACAGCGACACCGTCCGGAACTGAGGGGAATTACACTTTATTTTATTTATTTATTTAGTCATTTAGCAGACGCTTTTATCCAAAGCGACTTACAAATGAGGACAATAAAAGCAGTCAAAACTAACAAAAGAGCCATACACGCATTCATACATATTTTACATATACACACACTTTGAGTGCGCGGAACCCAAAAATACAAATTCTGACATTTATTTACATTATAAAAATGACCTTAGAGATAACATGGATAGAGAGACAAAGCTCAAATTTTCTTTAATTTAACTTTATGATCGTGTTTTGTCTCACCCTTTTTTTGTCTTATAGTTATTTTTATTAAAGTGAAAATGCCTTGTACAAACCTGTTTGGTCTTCCTTTTATTTATTTATTTTCCACTAAACCAGAGTCGGCTCTGCACTAAACACAGCACAGAATAAATAAAATAAAAATCTAAATATTTGTAAAATATCAAAATAAAGAATAACACTATAATACAGAGGGTTTACAAAATAAATTAAGAAGTAAATAGAAGTGTCTGCTAAATGACTAAATGACTAAATGTAAATAGAAAAAGATCATATCAAGTTCAGTGTTTTACTTTTCAGTTATCTTTATTCAGGTAACTCTTTTGCATATATGGTTGTCCTATATCTTTTTTTTTATATAAATACACTTAAGAAAATCAATAAACATACAATTCAACAATAATTATCTAAAAAAATGGTTTAAAAGTACTCCTTTTGGTTTTGTGTATGTGAAATTTACCGAATAAAATCATAAGATTCACCATGAAAATGTATTATATTGAATATATTAACTGTATTTTTTATTCAAAGTAACGTATATAAAAACAATTTGCACGATGTATAAAAATTACAGTAATTACAAAATTAAATGACAATAACATAAATAAATCATCCCTTTTGTGCAGCAGCAGTCAAAAATAGGCTATATATTTTCTCCCTGGCTTTTCTGAACAAAACAAACAACTTTTATTCATGTGCAATCATGTTTATATATGAAGGACCGGGAGTGAAGACTTTAAATGATTTCTCGAATCATGTTAGATAGATACACAAAATGTATTGTTTCAGTGTTTCTGTCAGCGTTCAGTACAAAAACTACAACAACCACAATCCCCAGATCAACCCACTTCCGGTCCAAGAGTTTGTAAACAATGAAAGGCGATATGGAGTCGTCAAGAGGTCTTACCTAAAAATATTGCTCTGTACAGGCCATAATAAATGCATATTATATGGCATGCATGTCGTGCACACCCGTAAGCATTAAACCAACCGGGACGTATCGGTTTTCAAGGATTCCTGCTCTTTTAAACATCTTTCTTGTGTGTGTGAAAATCGGACCGCTGGCTAGCGACGCGTTTGTTTTTCTACATAACGTTACTAGACAGACATCAGACTCAACGGGCTGCGGAAACGACGGTCCCTAAACACCGCCGAAGACTGGCGAGTCTTTCAAAGGCCACCTAGACGTGATTTTGGAGGGTTTGTCGTGTGGTGCAGGTTCGGTTCAGCTCAATGGGGAACTGTCTGTCTTCTCAAGGCGCTGATGATCTGTCCCTGCTCAACGAGTCCGAGGGGGCGAGTCTGCCCGGAGAGCCTCCGCCACCCTACCAGGTGAAACGGGCTAGTAGACCACAACACTGTCATTCTGCTGTGTGCAGCACAGGCTAGACTGCAGACAAGCTCGGGTTGTGTGCCATGTGTTATAGTAGTAATAGCAATGGGTATGCAACTGTCTGATCTAGATCTAAAAAGGAACAGGAAAAGTTTGCTGTAGGCAATGCAGTTAGTCATCATAGATATGCATCTTAGGTATTGACTGTGATCTCTGACTGAAAAAAAATGTACCATGGCTGGTTTGGACACTACAATGACATTATAGGTTGTAATGCCATATTAAGGTATAATAATAATAATAATAATAAAAAAAAGGTAAATAAATAAAGTGTCTGGGCTGGGCCAGATCATGTTTTTGAAAGCCTGCCATACATTTTAAAGAAATGCTTCCTTAAATTACAACACATCTGTACTTTGTACTTACAAATACAAAATTGCAGCATAACCGTTTCTTTTATGGGCTTTTAAATAAATAAAGGACAGTGCATTATTTAACAGTTCAGAGGATGTGATATAAAGAATAAAAAACAACCGTAATACAGAAGAACATATATAAATAAATAAAATATTTGTGTTGCATTCAAAAGGTTCTTGCTTTGTGTTCTCATGTTTGAAAGAATTTTAGAAGTCATCATAAGATCAGTCTTACATATATGTAAGTTATTCTGGACGTGTGAATGCAACATTTTACTGAAATAATTAAAAGAATAATGATGTAATTTTATTTTTATGAAAAATGTGGATTTTGTTAATGAAGTAAAAATATTGTTACGTTTTAAATTTAAGTTAATTCAATAATTAATCCCCCTCCCCTGTCATTTCCGTATAATATCAATCTAAAATGAGACAGAAAATAAATAAATAAAATTCATCTTTTAAAAATCAATTCAAAAATCATTCATCTTCATAGTCTTCACATACAGCATGGATATATCTTCTAATGGCTGCATTTACAGGATAGTGTCAATTAATATTTTTTGTTATTTCTTTTATTTTGCTAAACTATACACTTTTATAAAATAAAGGTTCCAAAAGAGGGTTTTCACTGAGATGCTACAGAAGAACCTTTTTTTTTTTTTTGCCTTTCAGTGATCAATTCTTAAAAGAACCATTTTTTCTTAGTGTGATTTTACTAATCTAAGAAACCTTTTTCCACTATAAAGAACTATTTTGTCTCTATTTTGAAAAGATTGCATGGTTGTCGATGCCAATAAAGAACCTTTATTTTTTAAGAGTGTGAAGTTCTAATAAGGCCTTCTGTGTGCTCTAACCAAATGTTAGCGGATTGCATTAATTATGTGTGATCAAACGCTCTCGTGACCCCAGGAGCGGGCGCAGGTGCCAGTGTACCATCCCACACCCAGTCAGACGCGGCTGGCCACTCAGCTGACGGAGGAGGAGCAGGTCCGTATCGCTCAGCGCATCGGCCTCATCCAACACCTGCCCCGAGGGATCTTCGACCCGGGCTCGGAGCCGTCCGACAAGAAGATCAAAGAGTGTGTGATGTCCAGAAAACACGTGAAAACTAGTGCAGTCAAACGATTAATCGCATCCAAAATAAAAGGTTTTGTTTACATAATATTATGTGTGTGTGCTGTGTATATTTATTATGTATATATAAATACACACACATGCATGTATATATTTCAGAAAAATATGTTATGTTTATATATTAAATAGATTTATATATAATATAAATATATACATGTAAATACTAATACTGTCAAACAATTAATCTCGATCAATCGCATCCAAAATAAAAGTTTTTGTTTACATAATATGTGTGTACTGTTTATTTATGTATATTTAAATACACATACAGTATATATTTTGAAAATATTTACATGTATATACATTTATATAATTATATATGAATATATTTAATATATAAACATAACATATTTTTCTTAAATATATACATGCATGTGTGTATTTATATATACATAATAAATAAACACAGCACACACACATATATTTATGTAAAAAACTTATTTTGGATGCGATTAATCAAGATTAATCGTTTGACAGCACTAGTAAATACATGTAAATATTTTTAAAATATATACTCTGTGTTTATTTATATAGACATAATAAATATACACAGCACACACGTATATTATGTAAACAGAAACTTTTATTTTTGGATGCGATTAATCACAGTTAATCGTTTGACAGCACTAGTGAAAACCACTTTCAAATCTAGCCGGCTGCATGTAAAAATGTTTGCCATCTGCCCACAGGTGTGTGATCTGCATGATGGACTTTGAGTACGGCGACCCGATCCGGTTCCTGCCCTGCATGCACATCTATCACGTGGACTGCATTGACGCCTGGCTCATGCGCTCCTTCACTTGCCCTTCCTGTATGGAGCCCGTCGACGCTGCGCTGCTGTCTTCTTACGAGACAAACTGAGAGTGCCTGCGGAAAAACCGAGAGACGTGCCAATGAGTCTGCCAAGAGCCCCGAAACGTTTGGGACAGTAGATTGAACAAATTAAGGTGGTTTGACTCTGTGTGTCTGTGTGTGTGTGTGTGTGTTCAGAGACGGTAAAAATGTCCAGTGTTAAACTTAAAAGGCCCTGGAAGGATGTTTAAAACCTCTCACTTGCATGTCAAAGCGCTTTTCGAATACATATACATGTAATTGATGTAAAAGTGAAGTTTAGCAAGGTGGAAAACCATAGAAGCATCTCTAATGAAGATAGAGTATTTCAAAAGCCAATTCGTACAATTAGTAAATTAGGGTTGAATTAATAAACGATATACTTTTTTTTCTTTTCGTTCTAATCAAATTCATGAAATGTGCAATATATGCGAGAGAGACTCATGTCCTTCTGATTGGCTGTGGAACCCGCCCACCGCCAAAATTCCGCCAATGAGATCATCCCTTTCTGAATTTGACAAGTCTAGCGGGCAGAGTTTCATTTCTGCAGGCTGTGAATGTGCGTTTTACGGCTCACAATTAGAATGCTGAGAAAGCGAATTTACAAGAAAACATGTGCCGTGATGATAATGTTGAAGCTTGTGATGCACTACCACCTCAAACACCAGTTAGTGCATCACAAGCTTCAACATTATCATCACATACTTTTTCTATAATTTTCTCGATCACTATGGATGGGTGCATCCACATCTAAATAGCTTAATAAATGCGTCACGTTATGTCATTTCGTGTTTAATCGTAATGGGGTTGGTGATGAGGTTGTTTAGTGGTAGTTTTGCCTCGTCAGCTGCTGTTTTCCAGGTTCTGGGATGTAAGTTGCTTTTTTACACTGGTTTTGGATCATCTTTCCCCTAAATGCTTGTTTTTGGTGTTACATGTTGGATCCTGTTTGTCCCCACTTAGCTTTGCCTTGCCTTGTCTGTTTGGATAGAACCGTGGCCACCGTCTTCAGTAGTTTTCTTTCTTTATTTTGGAAGAGAATAATAATGATACAATCGCCAAATTTTGTGGACCTTTCAAATGTTGCAGACTTAAAGTCAGCCTTTACAGTGGAAGCTTTAAAGTTATTCCTTGTTGTTTTCCTGATTAATGCAAACTATTTTTTTTCTTTTTGAACATGGAAAAAAGCAGTACATGCTTCGATCAGTTTTGATACTGTTCGTAATGTCTTTGAGTCTTTTCTGTATGTTAGCTGAATACATGATCACAGTTTGAACTGCTTGTGCAAAAAGGAAGATTTTCACCTTTGTTGTTTTGTTTACTCCGTTATTGTGCTGGATTAATCATGTTAATCGGACTGAACTGTGTTAAGAGCCCCATGATTAGCCTGAAACTGTATTCATAAAATATTTCATCCTGCTCGAGCTTCCCTCTGTATCTCTGTACTGAACCATTGTGACTTAAAATGTGATTGAATACCGAGAACGGTGTCTGAAAATCTCGAAATCAACCTGTTATTGCTCTTAGATATCATATTGGATGAATTACTTAATTTTCTGTTAATGATTCAGAATTGAAATGTAGCTCTAGCACAACACAAATGTAAAAATAAATGCCATAATTTTGTGAAGTACAATCACAGCAACATTATATTTTGTTTCAAAATAAAATAAAATTAATAATAAAAAAAGAGTCGCTTGTTGGTGCCATATAAATGTAAGTTTGCCAACAAAAACATTAGCAGACATACTATTAAAATGAAGTGTTTGGTTTATGTGCAATAATGGCACAAGAATAGTATAATAATACAAGAAAGGTTGTCCAATTCTTCCATATTTGTGTGATTCTGTCTTCCAAGTACACAAATGAACAACGCACGATAAATATTTAACGATCCACTACTCACCCAACATGTGATATTATTATTATAAGTGTATTTACACTTCCAACTAATGAGAAATAAAATCTAAATAATAATTTCTGGAATATTCTCGTGCTGTGAAAGTAGTTGGTACAGTCCGGCTGAGTCATCAGCGTAATCAACACACTTCCGTTCGCAACTGGCCACCCCACACGGGCCATTTTGGATCTAAGTTCAATCCATTCTAGCGTGGGGTTTCTGCTGTTGCGGAGCCAAAATGGCGGAGTGTGCAGCTGCCGCTTTGGTGTATTCAAACAGATTTGAGCGCAAGATGGCGGCTTCAGTGGAAGACGAGTTTGAGGATGCGCCTGATGTAGAGCCTTTAGAGCCGACATTAAAGAATATTATAGAGCAGAAATCACTCAAATGGATATTTGTGGGTGGTAAAGGTGGCGTGGGCAAGACAACATGCAGGTGAGTGAATAAACGTCGGGGTTTTACAGCTGAGAGGCTGTTAGCTGTCAGTGATGCTTTAGCAACAACATAGATTAGTCATTCATACATGTTTGCTATATTACTGTATTACATTACTGGTGAAAAACACGCTGAAACTCATTAATCTGGCCCTTAAAATGCATGCTTGAAAACGAGCAAATGACAAAACAATTCTCTAAATATAAAACCTTACATGAGTCGAGATGGTCACTTATGATATTTCATAAAAATACCAAAATGTTGGTATTTTTAAAAATCATTTTCAATAAGAATAATAACAATTCATTAATTCTTTGATAAAATATCACAGAAAGACAGACACATAAATGAAAGCGGGTGATATTAATCATCTAAGCAGGTCATATTTACATTTGTATCATACAATCTCTGCCATCTATGATACAGCCACTTTGTTATTCTATAGTAATAATAATAATGTGTTTTGTTTTACTGCAACAGGTGTTTATAAATGGCAGAATTCACAAAATGTGTTCTTGCACTTAAGACTCATGCGCTCCTTCACTTGCCCTTCCTGTATGGAGCCCGTCGACGCTGCGCTGCTGTCTTCTTACGAGACAAACTGAGAGTGCCTGCGGAAAAACCGAGAGACGTGCCAATGAGTCTGCCAAGAGCCCCGAAACGTTTGGGACAGTAGATTGAACAAATTAAGGTGGTTTGACTCTGTGTGTCTGTGTGTGTGTGTGTGTGTGTGTTCAGAGACTGTAAAAATGTCCAGTGTTAAACTTAAAAGGCCCTGGAAGGATGTTTAAAACCTCTCACTTGCATGTCAAAGCGCTTTTCGAATACATATACATGTAATTGATGTAAAAGTGAAGTTTAGCAAGGTGGAAAACCATAGAAGCATCTCTAATGAAGATAGAGTATTTCAAAAGCCAATTCGTACAATTAGTAAATTAGGGTTGAATTAATAAACGATATACTTTTTTTTCTTTTCGTTCTAATCAAATTCATGAAATGTGCAATATATGCGAGAGAGACTCATGTCCTTCTGATTGGCTGTGGAACCCGCCCACCGCCAAAATTCCGCCAATGAGATCATCCCTTTCTGAATTTGACAAGTCTAGCGGGCAGAGTTTCATTTCTGCAGGCTGTGAATGTGCCTTTTACGGCTCACAATTAGAATGCTGAGAAAGCGAATTTACAAGAAGATTTCTTACATGAACTGATTGACCATTTGTGATTGTTCATTTGTCATTTTTGGTTTGCTTAATAAAGAAAACATACTGAAAAAAAGATCAAATAAGAAAAGAAACTATATTGCCATTATAATAATACAACGATATTAGTTTGGTAGCTCTCAGAGACCATCCAATATTCAAAGTTTTCTCAATCATAATATAATGTCATTCAAAAATACTGTTTAAATGCTGATTTCTTCTCTGGTTGTATTGTATCTAGAGTAAGTGTTTATATAAGTATTTCTTACATGAACTGATTGACCATTTGTGATTGTTCATTTGTCATTTTTGGTTTGCTTAATAAAGAAAACATACTGAAAAAAAGATAAAATAAGATAAGAAACTATATTGCCATTATAATAATACAACGATATTAGTTTGGTAGCTCTCAGAGACCATCCAATATTCAAAGTTTTCTCAATCATAATATAATGTCATTCAAAAATACTGTTTAAATGCTGATTTCTTCTCTGGTTGTATTGTATCTAGAGTAAGTGTTTATATAAGTTTGTTTGGCTTGTTGTGTTGCAGCTGCAGTCTGGCGGTTCAGTTAGCGGCGGTGCGAGAGAGTGTCCTCATCATATCCACAGATCCAGCACACAACATCTCAGATGCCTTCGACCAGAAGTTCTCCAAGGTGCCCACCAAAGTCAAGGGCTACGACAACCTCTTTGCCATGGTACGTTATCAACAGTAGAGCCCGACCGATATATAGTTTTGCCGATATTATCGGCCGATATGAGCCTGTCGCCGATATATCGGTATCGGCAAATATGGCACCGATATGAATTTTTTTTTTACAGAACATATACCGCAGATAAAATGCTTGAAATGGTGTAATTACTTAGTTTGTCCAGCAGAGCGCGCTCCATTGTTTGCTACTGGCGACCTGGATGAAACGCTTTAAAGCTTAAATCTATGGAAAACCATTGAAACTTTGAATGGCCATATCTCCGTAACGGCGCGGCGAATCCGCACCAAATTCGGGGGATCCCTTCAGCTCGAGGAACCCTCTTGAACGAGTGTATGTCTAGAGGCCCGCTTTCGAATGAGACCACCCCCGCGTTGATAGCCCCTGGGGTTCGGGAGTTACGGGTGGTTAAATTCGCGGTCCGGCGCCAACCGATCTAGCGATCCCGGGGGGCTACCAATGAGCGGAGGGTGGCGTTCGAGAGGGCTCCTCCAGCTGAAGGGACCCCCAGAATTTGGTGGAGATCCGCCGGCGTGTTCGTGAGATAGTGACACCAGCCAACACTTTCACTTCAGTAAGGACTTGTTCAGGCAGCATTCAAGCGTTGTCTTATTCGACCGCAAGTGCCCTGCGAAGTGGACTTCACATTAAATTCCGCCATGATTCCAAATCCAAGGGAACGTACACGTTACATTCAAAGGGCATTAAAGAGGTATATTATGTCACACTTTACACTTCTCTAGTAAGTTTCGTCTGTGTGTGAAGACGAATTCCGTGAATGAATGTTCCGAAGTGAAATTGGAATGGAATTGAATTGAATTAAAGTTGAATAAACTTCAACTTTACTGTTCAGTGCTCTGATGTCAGACTCATTTTGGATAATAAAGTTTATTGTTAAATTGTTAAATTCCCTGCCTTCTTTACGTTTCTTTGTCACGTCATTATAAGTGTTTGATCACCACATTTGAGTGATCATTGCAAAAAATGTGTTTAATGTATATGTATATTTTGTTTATGTATATACTGTATTCTATATATACTGTGTATATATATATATATATATATATATATATATATATATATATATGTGTGTGTGTGTATATAGTACCAGTCAAATGTTTGGACACACGAATGGGAAAGTGTCCAAACTTTTAACTGGTACTGTGGTACTGTATACACAAAGAATATCGGCTGATATATCGATATCAGCCTTTTTTACTCCCTAATATCGGTATCGACCCCTAAAAAAACCATATCGGTCGGGCTCTAATCAACAGCACACACTGTTTGCACTAAATGCTGTGTGTACACTAAAAACAGTGCCATGACATTCACCAACATGACTTGCTCAGTCCATATACACACCAGTGTGAAAGAATTGTCACAGAAAAGCAGTTCTATTAAACTGCATCTTTTAGCTTTTTTATACTGAATCTATAAATATCTAGTCAATTGTAAATATATTGTCAATTTAAATGAGCATAAACTCATGTGAGATTCACTTCAGGAACTTGTGCTGTTCTTGCCAGAAATATAAATCACATCCTTTTTCGTTATGACTGTGAAGATGTTGCAAGAAAAAAGGAAGGGGAAGATGAAACTTGGACAAACAATGTATTAGTATCTGGTTTAAAGGTTTCTATTCTTTGAGATGTAGTTCAATATAGCCGTGTTTAATTTAGCTTTATATAATCGTGTTTAGGTGATGATGTACATGAGGTAAGACTCTGTTCTCCATCGTTGTGTCGCTCTGTAGGAGATCGACCCCAGTCTGGGTGTGGCGGAGCTCCCCGATGAGTTCTTCGAGGAGGACAACATGCTCAGTATGGGGAAGAAGATGATGCAGGAAGCCATGAGCGCTTTTCCCGGCATCGACGAGGCCATGAGCTACGCAGAGGTCATGAGGTCGGACTCAGTCAGCTTCCTGCATTGAACATATTGCACTGTAATAGTCTCAC